GGCGGCTCAGGAGAGATCTGCTGTCCATGAGGTCAGCTCCCTGGTTGGGCTCGAACTTGTGCTGAAGTGGCTTCCAAGAGCTTCATAGTGTAGTGCTTTAAATCCATTGCACCACCAGGGAGAGCCCCTTGTAGTTTATTTTATAATTAGTTTTTTTTAATACATGTATGCTTATTATATAAAAAATATAATGGGTCAAGATGATCATGGCCCCTGAATCCCTGGCCCCCAGAGTGCACTTGAGGTTAAGCTGCTGCCCACGGAATGGGGCGAGGTGGGAAACAGAGCTCCCTACTGCTTGGCTGCACTCACTTCAGGAATTTAGGGACTTAGCCTCTGCCTGGAGTAACTGGGAAGATGAGCTACAGAATGGGAACAGGGGAGGAGGCAGCCCTGTGTTCCTGGTGTACTGACCCAGGTTGAGCTAGGAACAGCAAGGGGAGTGGTTATTACTCAAGCGCCAGACTCAGTATGGTGGATTTCCTTGAATAACTATTTCTTTACTTCCAGTATGTTCTTAGGATATTTTCAGAAACATCAGTGGTTTCTTTTAAAGTAAATTTTACCAGTTACACTTATTTTTACTTGGATGCAGGGCCCCAGAGCTCCCCACTGCCATTCTGGAATTGGAATTGCCAAAGCATAATTAATATACCACTTTGATTTATTGTACCAACAACATTATAAAGTTTCAAATAATCAAAAATATTAAAAAAAAATTAAACAGTTGCCACAATCAACTGTCCACGCTGTGGACTGGAGTGTAGCTGAGGGTGCCTTAGCGGATGCCAGTGAGAACGGACGTGTCCCAAGGCCTGCTACTCACCAGTACCGGGTGTGTGCCAAATGTGTCCCAGACCTGGATGCTGCCATTTTAAATTTCTGGCCTATGTTAGAATACAGGTTTAGGGGCAAGACTGAGTTGTATAAAAATGATTTCCTTGCGGCCCTCCCTGGTGGTGCAGTGGTTAAAGCACAGCAGTAAGAAGCTAAAGCCACTGCAGCATGAATCTGATCCCCCACCCTGGACATGACCCACATGGACCTCTCCTGACCCGCCTGCTGCTCCCCTCAGCAGTGTACTTTGTCTATCTGCTTATTCCGCTCCCCACTCCCCATTCTCACCGCCCCTGCACCTCTGGCCTGTACCCCAGTTCAGTATGCATAAATAAAGAAATCTTAAGAAAAAAATTCCTTTCACCATGAAGAGAGTAGGCTAGGATTGAAATCTGTTTTAAAAGTGTAGGCGGTTGTTTGGACACGCTTGGCTGAAGGGAAGGAACTAGGGGAGGATAAGGGGTGACAGAAAAGGGGTTTTATTAATTTTGTTTTGTTTTGTTTTCAGGAAAGAGCAAAGCACATGCTCAGTGCTCACAGGAGGGATCTGGTTCTGTGGAAGAGACTCAGGATACCAGGGAAAAGGACACCGCTGAGAGCAGATGATTCTTGAAGTAGGTGATTCCCGACATAGAGCTCCAATTTATAATTTATTACATGTTGGTGAATACGAAACCTGACGGTTTCTGTGTTCTCTGTGAAGTAGGAACAAAGGTCACCAAGAGGGAAGGGTCAGTTAAAAGTCTGAATGGAGAAAGTTTGAAGTCCCACAAGTGGGCAGAAAGAGTAAGTTGACAATGATTGCTGGGTGGCTGGAGGGCTGTATTCTGGGGGCAGCGGGACACATTGGTCAGGCTCCATCTCTTTTCTGCAGCTGTGTGCAGTGGGCCCAGAGCAGGCCTGGAGAAGATAAATGTTGGGGTTATCTACGGCTCGCATTAGACCAGGAAATACCTGCTCAGAATCTCTCCAAATATTTTAAAAATACTTATTATCATTGTTGCTTTCCAAATGAAACAAATCCTTTCTTTTAAATTTATTATATCAATTTCCCCACTTCTTTATTATTATTGTTATTATTCTTCATGAGTGATTTCCCAGTTCCCCACTGTCTTTTACAGAGAGAGGCAGCACTGTGGGGGTATCAGGGCAGAATTTCTGACACGAATCTGCCAAGGACAAAGCTTTCTAGTGTGGACTCCCCTTGTGGCCTTACGCAAATGACAGACTGCCTCAGTGCCTCAGTTTCCCCATTAGTAAAATGGGGGGAGTGATAACAATAGACTCCCCCCACCAAGAGGGTTGTGTTGACGATTAAATAAGCTAATATTTGTACTATGCAAAGTTGTTGCTTTTTCTATAATTCAAATGAAATCCTCAATCTGGAAGCAGAATGAAATAAGAACAATTATGTTCTGACCTGTAGGCATCATCACACAGTTTTAACACAGCCTGGTATTTCATGGCTGCTCTTTTTCCTTTTCCCACAAATCCATTATAATCATGAACTCAGCATGAGGAAAGGTCTGAGTCTTAGAATCATTCTTTCTGCATCTTTTATTCACAGCATTATTTTTTCTAAATATTTATATTGACTGAATTGCTTATTGTTCTTTACCTACATATCTTTTGCTTCCAACTTCATCTCCTTTGAGAACCACTTTTAAAATGCTACCCCTTTTCTTTCCTACAAGTAGAGTCTTGATGTTGGCCAAGTTTTATCAATTACAAGGTGTTCAGCTAGGCTATAAGCCCCCTTAAAACAGGTCTTGTGATTCTTTTTAGAAGCCTCTGCACCCAAAAAGTTGCCTTGCATCAAGTAGGAAGTAAAAACGTAAGCTGTTGATGAGGATGAACTTGATGGTGGTGATGGGATGGCGATATGGCGATGGTAATGATGATCATTTCCCTTTGTAGGGGCAACACAGGGTAGAGAACATGGACCCTGAGCCCAGACACACTGCAGTTCTGTCACTGACAAGTTGTATAGCCTCAGTTTAAAAGCAAGCAAATTGCTGTAAGTTGTTCAATAACTAATTAGCCACCTTCTCTCTTTTTCCTCCCATTCTTGCCAGCTATTTGCTAACAGTTACTAACAGAATGGTCCCTTCCCCAAGCCATGCCTTTCCTAAAGCTTTCTACCACTGAGGAGCTAGGTGGGGAACTTATTCCTTAAAGTCCCGAGTCCCACCATTTTGTCACTTCCAATCCCTCACATTTTCCCTTCACTCTTCAAGCAGGTTTTTTCCATAGCAAGTTTCTTTACAGATTATCTTCCTTCAATTCTTTTTCTCAGGGAATACCTTTTTTGGAAATATTCTTGCCTCCTTTTCCGAAGAGTTTCTTTTTCTTTATTCAGTTGCTAAATTTATATTCTGTATGCCTTTCATAATTGGAAGACTTTTATCGCGTCTCCCTAAATCTTAGGCATGACTTTCATTTTCCCACAATGCCCAAAAAATGTCCATTTTTTAACTTTCAGAGGTGAATACTGTAGGCACCTATTAAATATTAATTTCACTGCACTGTCTGCAGCTATGAGTGCTAAAAAAGGAGAGTACATTGAGTGGAACAAGATATATAGAGATAATTTATAAACTTGTGATTGTGATAATTTCTTGAGAAAGGGAGTACTTAAATCTTCAGCTGAGATGAATTATATACTCCCATCTTTGATTACAAAGTAATGACACATGCCCATCTGTCACGCAAATATACAAAAAGATGCTAATAAACATTTTATGATACTTTACAGGAGAAAAAAGGTAGCTATTTCTCACTGAAGCTTGCATATGACAGCTGATGTTGTTTCAGATCTAGTTTGAAACACTAGATTCAATTAAGGGTATGAAATGTTGAAGAGAGGCAAGTTAGAGGAAAGACAGAAAAAACACAAAAATGTCTTTCAAATTCTCAATCTGTAGTGACATTTAATGTGAGAATTTCACACATTTCAAAAAATCTAAGTTGTGCTTTTGAATTTTTAAAAGCATCTTTGTTTTACACATTTCTGAAGACATTTCTAACTTGACTGAACTACATCTCCAACTTTATGCCTAAGTTGTTAATATCCTATTACACAGAATAACCCCATACCTACTCTCATTTTTAATGAAGATTACATTATTTTAAACAAGTCTTGTCTATAAAGTAGTGGTCCATTTTTTAAGAACATATGTATCCACTTCCAAACATAATAAGTATGATCTTTGAAAGCACCAAGAATATAGCCATTTTTCAACATATTTTTGGAATTTCTCTTTAGAATAATCTTCAGCTAGTTAAATGCCATACAGTAAAGCAGATCTTGTTACTTTATCAACTCTCATATAGGACATTAATTTTTAAATATAATCTGGGAATGTTATTTAAAAGTTACATTTCTTTAGTTCATATTTCTATTTGCCCTGTAGTTGAATTTTATCTAGTATTAGTCACCTTTCATTTCCTACAATGGTTTTAAATGGGATATGAATTTTAAATTTTTCACAAAGATTATTGGAGGGGTGGGGAAAGTTCACCAGTGTTTATGAATAAGAATTTTTTTTGCTCCTGACAACTGAATGATTGTCAACAGCTTTTAAAATACTAGAGGACGTTAATAAACATTCCAAGGCTCTGAGGTTAAGATGAAGGGGGTAGAAGGGGGGACAAAGGGACAAAGGGACACAGGGATAAAAAAATAAAAGAATTGTCTGCTCCCATGTAAGCACCCAAAGCATGGGTCAGGGGAATAAATTCTAGAAAGTAACCGTTTGTCAAATGCTGGTGAGTTAGAGAGGCAGTCAAGCAATTCGAGGGTCTCGATTTCTTTTTTTCTTTTTTCTTTTTGAAACACCATGCGTTAAACAAATAGTGGCTGCGTTCCATTATTTTTTCACAGTGATTTCTGTAACATGAGTTTTTGTGTAATTGTGAATTTTATTTTTGGCATTTTTGGCATTATCAGTTCACAATGCTCTGTTGTGTGGTCAAGACTGCTTTAATTTTTTGCACTTTACACTCCTTTTGGCACCTTAAGTCTTGTATGTTGTTTGGAGGAAGTGTTTAGCCTCCCCCCTCTGTCTCTTTTTAAATTGTTTGGCTTTATGAAATACACCATTCTCGGTAACATGAAACAAAACAGGTGAAAATTTGCCTTCACACGCGGCACACAGCCCAGCCGTCCCTACAGGCTGGTATTCCGGGCTTCGGATCTCAGCTGTTTGGCCACTGCTGTGACAGGCTCTGGCGGCCCCTCCTGACAGAAAAATACAGCTGGATTTTTACAAGCCCACATGGCCACGTCCCCTCCTGCCCAGTTGGCCGGGTTGGAAGAGGACATCCTGCTGCAGGCCCCCAGCCTGTTGGCATAGCGGTTTCGAAAGCGATCGCGGCTCCTGTTCTGCAGGCCCGGGCCCTGGCTGGGGAGGAAAGTCCCTGCATTTCTAGTCCGGTGGCCTTCTTCCTGGTTGCGTTCCAGGAGCATCGAAATGTTGGGGTTGCGGATGGCAGAGATGATGGGGTTGATGGCCCCATTGGCCCAGGTCAGCCAAACAGCCACCACGTTGAAGAGCGAGGGGCCCTGCGAGGCCTGAGCCTGCCCGGCCGCCGCCAAAACCGAAGAAGCAAGTAGAGGCCCCAGCAGCAGGTGATTGAGATGATGGTGATGAGCACGGTGGTGGGTGTGCTCACCCCGCTGAAGAAGCGTAGCACGTCGGACCGGCTCACGGTCTTGCAGATGTGGTAATGGCAGAAGCACATGAGCAGGGAGGGCAGCAGGTAGCAGGCCACCAGCAGCCCCACACTGTAGGCCGTGCCCAGCTGCGCGGGCTTCGGGGAGGTTCGGTAAAGGAAGCCATGGAAGTTCTGCACCCCGGTTGGCTCCGGGGGCGCGCGGAGCAGCTCCCAGGGCAAGGAGAAGTCCAGGGCCGCCAGCCAGGCGCCGGCCAACAGCTGCAGCGCTCGGCGGCGGCGGGTCTTCTCTCGCGGCGGCCGCACTCTGGCGCAGTCGCGGTCCAGCGAGGTGAGCGCGGGCGAAGCTGAGCGTGGACACGATGCCGAAGCACGAGCGGAAGAAGCGGCTGGCGGCGCAGTAGCCGCGCCAGGGCAGGGCGGCTGGGGCGGCGGCAGGCGCGGGGGCCAGGACTCCCGGAGTCA